GAGTGCATTAGTGTAAACAATGAGATGCATGTTAAATTATTTTACAGAGGTTCACCTCTGCCATTACCTCAGTGGTTTTGTCAAGGAAGAGATTGTCGTTTATCTTGTAAAAGTATGCTTCATAATTTTCCTACCTACATTAAATCACAAGCCGAACAATTTTCATCTGTATTGACTGAATTACAGCAAATTAAATATATGAAAAAACCTATTTATTCAGCCAATATTTTAAGGTATTCACTGATATTACGATATACTTCTATGCAGTCATACCAACTTTTGCGTGAAGAATTGCCTTTACCATCATTATCATTACTTAAAAAAATAACTAGTGGAAATATTGATGCTCTAAGTTGTGCAAAACGTTTAAAATTAGAAGGTAAGATATCTCAAGACATTTGCTTGATTTTTGATGAAATGTACTTGCAAAAATGTGAGGAGTATTTTGCTGGAGAGATGATTGGTAGTGATGAGTCTGGAGAAATGTATAAGGGAATAGTTTGTTTTATGATAGTTGGCCTGAAACAAAACATTCCATATGTGACCAAAACGTCTCCTGAAAAAACAATCAATGTTGAATGGTTGAAAGAAGAAATTTTTGAATGTCTTCGTATTTTAACTGAATGTGAATTTAATGTTAGAGTTATTGTGTGTGACAACCATTCTGCTAATGTTTCTTGTTTTAAAAAAATCCTTTGTGCATCGAATCAACAAGCTGAAGATTTGTTTTTTATTTACAATCTAAAAAAAATTTACCTCTGTTTTGATGTTGTACATCTTATTAAAAACATCAGAAATAATTTGTTAAATTGCAAAAGATTTTTATTTCCAGATTTTAACTTTAATGGATTTAAAGATCCTATAATTGTATGTGGGGGAGAAATTAAATGGAGTATCTTCCACAATATTTATGAAAAAGACCTCACTCTTGATGCTGGTTTGCGTAAAGCACCAAAAATAACAATGAAAGTGTTACATCCTGGCAATTTTAAACAAAATGTTTCTTTAGCACTTGCAATTTTTGATGAAACTACATCAGCAGCGATTCACTCATATTTTCCAGATCTTAAAAGTAGTGCAGATTTTCTTACATTATTTAACAAGTGGTGGGTTTTATCAAATTCTAAATGTCAGTATTCAGCATGTAATATTTTAGGTAATGCAGTCGTTTCTGGTGATAAAAAACCTGAATTTCCTTCGGGAAATGGCACATTGGATTGAAGTTTGGCAATCACAAAAGATACCAAACTGTGAGAAGTTTACTTTAAGTGTTCAGACAGCTGCAGCACTAATAAGAACACTTAATAGTCATCCCTCATTGATCGAGGACTTGCTTAATGATGGATATCACTTTGTTTTAACTGCGAGATTTCAAAGTGACCCATTAGAAAGGAGATTTGGACAATATAGACAAATGAGCAGTGGAAGATTTTTGGTAGGTTTAAAATATGTCACTATTTCTAAAAAAATATTAAAAATCAAAAGTATAGTTAAAGAAAGTATTAACTTCGATGATAGTTTAAAAGTGCCTGAGTCAGAAAATAATTTAACAGATTGGAAAAACTTTCTTCTTGATATTGATGAAGCTCAGTGTACTCCAGAAATCATGACACTTGCACCAGAAAGTAGGGAAGTAGGTGCTCATATTGCTGGTTATATAGCAAAGAAACTTAAAAAACGTTTTGGTACATGTTGTAAAGAATTTTTATGTTGTGTCAATATTGATGAAAGCAATCCTGATCATACTTATTTAACAATTATTTCTAGGGGTGGTCTCACTATTCCTTCACCATCACTTTTGGATTATGTTTGCACATCCTTTGCTATGATTGACTACTTTTATAAAAAAATAAAGAAATTTAGTTTACATGCACGACAAGCTTTAGAATATTTGTTAAACCACTTTTATGACTCTTTTCAGACTTTTTCTTGCCCCATGCATGAGAAAACTGGGATAAAACTTGCTGGAAGAATTGTTGTTAACATTTTTCTTAATAATAAAAGAATTATCTCTACCAGTGAAGTAGCTGTTGATCATGTAAAATCTTTTAAAAAGAGAAAATTTGAGAAAATTTAATAAATTATATATAATTATTTTATTTTTAAATGAAAAAAGAGAAACATTTAAATATTTTTTATAACTGTTCTTGTTTCTTACATCGTTTTTACTAATACTAAATTTTAAAATAAACACTATTTATTTCTTAATAAATGTTCGTTTAATATCTAAAATTATGAATAAATACAACTTTTGTGGACTTTTTAAATGTAGAAAGTAAAATAATATTGAAAATGTTCAAAACGTATTAAATTTTTGAAACATTAAGATTTTAAAAACTGGCCTTCTATTTTTTTCCTCAAAATGTAAAATATCCGGCCGTATAAATAAAGTAGGCCATGTTAACATATAAAATATATAATTCATAACATAATTTAAAAATTATTATGCAATTTAGAGTATAATCATTTTATTTTTTATCAGATAATTAATTTTATATTTTATCAATATAATTTTATTTTAGGGTGAAATAATTTTATATTTATCAGATAGTCCAATCAAAACATTTATATTTAAATTGGCGCTCTTTTTTTATTTTTTTATTTTTTATTTTATTTATTTTTTTTGCAACAACCTTGCCTATTAAAAAGCATTGCAGTATTATGCAGTTATTTTTTTTTTTTTTTTTATAAAAATGACTTTAAGTTTTTAATTTTAGTTACAACGATAATTATACTTTTGAAAGAGAAAATGTTGTAGTTTTGCGAGAACCATAAATTGTTAAGGGGAGTGTGGCAAGAGCAAGAGGCCTGCGGAGGCCTATATATATATATATATATATATATATATATATACTCTTGCATGGTCATTTTTATTTAAAAAAAAAAAATTTTTTTCAGAAGACTGGAAAAAGTTCTTTTTTTTAGTTATTTAATAGACTGCCTGCCCTAACCTAACCCTCAGTCAATGTAGCAGCACTCCGGTGCGAGTCAGATTATTTGTCAATTGATGTAGCAGCACTCCTTTGCGAGTCAGGCTATAAGATAGTCGATGTAGCAACACTCGCGCATGATTTACAGTAAACAAAATAAATAATAAAAACATTTCATACAAAAAATAAAAACAAAAACATTGTTTGTATTTTTAAAAACATTCAGAATGTTTTTAAAAACATTCTGGTTAATTAACTTTGCATTTTTGCGGTTTTTCAAAAAAAAATGATTAATTTGCAATTAAATTAATGGTGTTAACTTTATGACAACACAGAAATGTTGTTTAAAAATCAAAATTGACGTATAATAATTAAAATTAACACCACTCTTCTTCTTATTCTGTAACCTCAGGGATTTCTCAAGGTTCAATCCTAGGCCCTATACTCTTTTTAATTTACATTAACGATCTTCCAGATTTTCTCACATCTAAGGTGGCATTGTTCGCTGATGATACTACTATTTATTCTTGTCACAATAAGAAGCCAACTCCCTCTGATTGCTTGCAGGGGGCATCTGAGCTTGAAAAGGATCTCACTTCTGCTACAGCATGGGGCTCACAGTGGCTGGTGAACTTTAATTCAGATAAAACTCAATTTTTTTCAGCCAATCGTTATGGCAATACTTTAGACCTTCCTATATTTATGAACGGTAATGTACTCGATGAGTCTCCTACCCTTCATCTTCTAGGATTAACTCTTACTTCTGATCTTTCTTGGAAACCTTATATCAAATCCATTGCAAAATTAGCATCTGCTAAAGTTGCTTCTCTTTATCGAGCTTGTCACTTTCTTACTCTGGATTCTATTCTCTATCTCTATAAATCTTAAATCCGGCCTTGTATGGAATACTGTTGCCATATCTGGGGTGGATCTTCTAATGATGCCCTTTCTCTTTTAGACAAGGTGCAAAAACGCATTGTAAACATAGTTGGACCTACTCTTGCAGCCAACCTTCAATCTCTGTCACATCGTCGTAATGTTGCTTCTCTTTCTCTTTTCTACAAATACTATAATGGGCACTGCTCTAAAGAGCTAGCGACTCTTGTGCCATCTACTAAAATTCATTCTCATGTTACTCGTCATTCAACTAAGTCTCATCCTTTTTCTGTTACTGTTCCTAAATGCTCCAAAAACTCTTATTCGTCTAGTTTTTTTCCTCGAACATCAGTTCTTTGGAATTCGCTTCCTTTATCTTGCTTTCCTGATTCATATAATTTGCAATCTTTTAAGTCGTCTGTCAATCGTTATCTTGCTCTACAATCTTCATCTTTTCTCTTCTAGTAACTTCCAACACTAATTAGTGTTTGCTTGCAGCCTTGTTTAAAAAAAAAAAAAAGTGACGTATTTGTTGTCAAAAGTATCATTTTTTACCTTCCGTACTTTTAAAGCTAACAATTTGTGTATATATATATATATATATATATATATATATATATATATATATATATATATATATATATATATATATATATATATATATATATATATATATATATATATATATATATATATATATATATATATATATATATATAAATTGTTGGCTTTGAAAGTGCGGAAGGTAAAAAATGATACTTTTGATATATATATATATATATATATATATATATATATATATATATATATATATATTTGTGTATATACATATATGGTTATATACATTTTTGCATATACATAAAATATTTCATATTTTATGTATATGTAAAAATGTTCTATCAAGATATACTTCAGTAAAAAAAAAAAGTTTATGAGTAAACAAATTATAAATATTTATTTTTTTCATAACTTTGATGATTTGCCAATTTTGGTAATCCAAAATGTTTTTTCACTCAAAAACTTTTTACTCAAAGTTTATTACTTAAAAGTCTTCTTTTATTTTCTTTTTTTTTTTCCCTTTATCTTTGTTTTTATAAGCTTTTATAATTTTATATTTTTTATAATTATATATTTTTATAATTTTAAAACATTTTATTTAAATTTAAAAGTAATTTTTAAATATTTTTTTTTCAGTTGTGTTGTTAAGGTGACAGGCGATATGACTATTTCTTTTCCGGCTACAATTATCAACATTCTTTCCACTGACCTTAACCCTCCACAGTTATCATTCAACATTACTGGAATGTCATCTCTGGAGCAAATATACCCAAACAAAGCACTAGTTGAGAAGTATGAACTGTTTAAATTTAAATACAATAACTTGATACAATATAATATTTCAGTAAATTTTTTTAATGTAAATAGCAAATGTTAAGTTTGAATTATAATCCAGAGTTTCTTTGAGTCCACTCAAAATCTGGTACCAAGAAATTTTTTTTTTTTTCCTTTTTTTTTTTTTTTATTCAATTTTTTGCAGTTTCTGAATAACAAAACTGAAAGAAGTTAAAAAACTTATGCTCTATTTTGTTACTAATATTGTTTTATGTTAGTATAGTCTGTTACTTATTTTATGTTAGTATAATTTGTTATATTGTTTTACTAACACTGACAAAACTATACACACTATAAATATAAGTTTATATTAGTTTGTAAATTTAAATAAATAATAATGAGTATTTATTAAGTAATAATAAACATTTATTGATTTTATTATTTATTGATAACTTTTCAATTTTTATATTTTTTGTATTTCTAACTTTACTAATTTGAATTTTATGTTGTTGTTTTTTTTGTTGTTTTTTTCAGAGAAGGACAAGTATTTGGAAATGACAGTCTAGCATTTAAGTTTAATATGAAAGCATTAGCATCATATTTAATTAAACAGTCTACTGAACAGGGCTCTAAGGCTTCTTACTACAATATTGATATTCTTAAATACCAGGTATTTATTAAAAGAACTTGAAACATTCATGTATTATTGTAACAGATTTTGTTGGTAAGTTAACACTAGCTAGAGACTTAAAAATATTTATTTTTAAAAAAACATTGGGTGAATTCATGACGTTTTATAAGTAACAGGCTGTGCTATGCAAAACTTAGGATAAAATGTGAGGGCCGATATTTCAAAAAATCAATATAATGAATAATATTTTAAATAAAATATGTTTTATTAAATGTCCCACATGATAAAATACATTAATTGATGTATAAACCTTTACAATTATTAAAAACAATTTATAAATTTTTCTAGGTTTTTTAAACTTCATTTTATTGTTTCAATTCATAAAATGGCCTAAATAATGAAACAAAAACAAGTTTTATATCATGTAAAAAAAAAAGTTAAACAATATATTGTTAGGGTAACTACACCTTCAAATAAGATTATATTTTAAAGAAATAAGATATACTTTTAAAATCCTAGAACAGAAGCTTTAAATCAATTAATAAATATCAACAAAAAAATAGCAGCTAAAGTGTCAATAAATAACTGTATAATTTAATAAATAATTTAACAAGACAACTTGTAAAATGATACAATTTTTTAAAAATGTTATGTAAGAAGTTTTTAAAATATACCAAAAAAATGATCCGCAACTACATTGGCCAAATATTGGCTCAACAAAGCTTAGGCATTAATGTAAGAAAAAGTAAAATTTTTAGAGACCATTCTTTGTTTGATTTTGGTGTAGAAAGTTTGCAGTGGTTGATAAAAATGTTAGACAATATATTACAATGATGCTGTTCCATATCAAAAGAGTAATGCTTCGATATAAGCATAAAAGTGTTGCACAGGGATATCCAACAAACTTTATCTATAATAGAGTTAAAGAGTATAAATGAGAAGAAAACCCATTGAACAGTATTATCAAAAGGAATGTTATATGACAACAAAAGTGAAGTTTTAAAAATATTGAACTTTTCAATTATTTGTTGGACACTAAAAAAATATGTGCCAGATCCTTGTCTTAACTAACTGAATTCTTTTTCAAGTGGGTCTGTGGAAAGTTTTCCCAACATAACATATTTGTGTATTTCTCCTAATAGTGTTTTTGTCAGCTCAACAATTCCTTTACATCAGTCTTTCACAGAAAGATGTTCGATTGCACATCTTTATAAGACAAGGCAAGTTACATTTTGCTTTGATAATTTGACCGCGGCTATTTCAAACAACATTTTAAAAACACGCTGAATGAAAATTATTTTGAATTATATCTTAAGCGAAATAAATTACAAAAACTTTGAACAAATGTTTTTATATTAGCAAAACCCAAGATAATGCTTTTTTTAAAAGTATAATTGGCAGTTGTATATATTTTTTTAATTTATAATATATAAATTGTTTAGGTGTGCATTTTTTTATGATAAACGTTATTAAAAAATAAAGAAATGTTTTGTTTTTATAAACAAAGACATTCTACGACAATGAATCTCTTTAACGAATTTTAATAAAAGAATAATTAAAGTTAATACATCTTTAAATAATTAAATAAATAAAGTTAATACATTTGAAAGGATAAACAAAATTTCGTTGAAAAAAAAAGAAAAATGTTTTAGAAAGCCGTTACAATTAAATAAGTTTGATCATAAATGCTTTTATATTATTGAAACTCTTTATAATAAAGTAACAAAACACTTCTAATGAGTTTTTATAATAAGTATTAAAAACTGTTTTTTAATACTTATTATAAAACAGTTTTTATAATTATGTATTTTTTTTTTACTTTTATAATTATGTATTTTTTATGAAAATTGTTTATTTGTGTTTTTGCTTTAAGTGTTTGTTTTTTTTCTCTTTTGTTAAGTTTTTTTTTTAAAATAAGTTAAAGAAAGTTTTTGAGCGCATTTTTAAATTTTGAAAGTATGTAGAAAGCTGTGGTCAAATCATTAAAACAAATTATTTTTTGCGTGGTCATATAATTGCATGCAATTGCACGTCTTCCTGTGAAAGACTGTTTACATGTATGATTTTTGGAATGTCCTGTATCATGTGTTAATTGTTTTATACGTTTCCCCTGATTACTTGTCATACGTAATGCCATTTCTCCAATGCTTTCAAATCTAATGCTTTTCCAAAAAGAGCACCTCCATGATACAATAACATTTTTTAACATACACCTGATTGTAGAGAATAATACAAGTTTTTTTATCATTACTTAAATTATCAAAAACTTTTTTTTAAAAAAAATTATTATAAGATTTCGATAATTTTGAAGTAATGTGTGTCAATGTTCGCATAGAAGATAGTTTAAAATCAACACGCAATTTTTCATAAAGTGTACATGAGGTAGCAAAATACTCAAATGCTCTGATAATTACACTTAGACTATGCTTATTTGTGTTCTTGAAATCAATTTGCTCATTCATAACTATTTCTTTACCGTTTGGTGTTAAAAGGTTCAAATATCCCAAGATATCTTCAAATTTAGACCATGTGTTAACAACATTAGACTAGGGATGTACCGGAATTCCATAAATATTTCAATTTTAACCTAAATGGAAAAACAGAAAACAAAGAAATAATCTTAAATATAAATATTATGCAGGTTAAAACTTTCAATAAATAAAATTATAAAAAACAAATTAAAGCAACATATTAAATATAAATGAAATAAGAATCAAATTAATGAAATAGGTTATGTAAATATTATAGGTTATAAATATATCCACAATGCCATTATATATCCACAATGTACACATTTACTATCTGAAATGAAAATAGTTTCTACCGAAAAATTGCGTTTTTTATTTAACAGTGTCACAAAAGTCATTTTCATAGTTGTGCTAAAAATAAATCAATTTCATCAAAAGAATTTCGGCTAGAGGATAATGCAAATTTAGTTTATCTTAAAGAGGATATAGATGTTGGTATTTGACTTAAAGGAACATTGGGCTAAATTGATGGTGGGTTTTTTGGTCTTTCTCTTCCTTTTACTTTAATTTTTTCAACATTTTTGGGCCAGTGTAGTTCACAGACTACACTGTTACTTGTCATTTTTAAATTTGCATTAGGAATGCATTTTATCCAACATTTTTTCTCTTCTTTGTCTTTTGGAAATCTATAAACTGACATTTTAAATTCATTCGACTTTTTTTTCTGTAATAAGTAATTTGTAGAACAGCCATAAACACAGCATTTTTACGCCTTTTTTTTTAACAGAATAAGTAAAGAAGAAGCTTTAAAGAATCAAACAAACTTTTTTAGTCTTCTGCGTCCATTTAATAGAAGTTGATATTGGCCCCCATATTTTTTTCTAAATTTTGCGTGTCATGGCCTGTTACTTAAAGAGTGCTATGGATGAATTAAAATTTCTTTTACTGACAAAATTCAAAATTTTTTTTTTAATTTGGAATTTATATATATCGAAGCTTTTTAGTGGCTTTTTGTAATTTTTTCCACATTTTTTGTACAACTATAGCTAACTTTAATTGTATTTTGGATAAAATTTTGTATGTAATTTATTAGAGGGTGCAAAATGTTCATCCACTTATTGCAACTCCCCATTGTTACATCAAAGCAGTCATGTTTATTTTTCTTCGATGTTTCCTTATTAAAATAAAATAAAGTTTTTTTGCAATGTTTTATTATATAAATTGTTTCTTCTGTAATGACTGTGTGGATTTTTGTAAACTTGATTGTTTTTTTTTGTGTTTAGAACCAATTTATAATGCCAGTAGTGTTTTTCCAACATTGTAAATATAAATTATTTTTAAGAATGTTATTAATTTTATCCAATATAATTTTGCTTGTCAGAAAAGTCTATTTTAAATCAATAGAGTTGCATCTGAAAATTTTATTCAGTGGTCAAAAATCTAGGAAAATATATAATATATTTGCATTTAACTAATCAAATATTGTTACTTAAGCCTAGCTTGGCACAAAACAAAACTGAATCTGATATTTTACAAGAAGATTTTTTAATTTTTATTATTACTTTTTTAATATTAATTCACTCCCAATAAGGCTGCAAGCAACAATTATTAAGTTGGGAGCTACTAGAAAACAAATAGGAAAGAATCAGTTGACAGAAGACTTAAAAAGTTGAAGGTTGTTTGAGTCAGCAAAACATGAAGATGGGAGTGAGTTCCAAAGTATTTAAGTGCTGAGAAAAAAACTAGATAAATAAAAGTTTTTAGAGCGTTAAGGGGCTGATACAGTATAAAAATATGACTTTGATGACTCAAGCAAGAATGAGTTTTGGTTGATAGAACTAGAGATGATAGCACTTTTGAGCAGTGACCATTATATATTTGTATTAAGGAGTGACCATAATAATATTTGTATTAAAGAGGAAGAGATGCAACCTTATAATGATGGAAAGGAGGCTCAAGCCTGGCAGATAAGACAGGTCCAACTACATCTATAATGCGTTTTTGGTCCTTGTCTAAAAGAGAAAGAGTATCATTAGAAAAACTAGCCCAAATATTACAACATTGTTAACAAGCATGATAAAGAGAAGCTACCTTAGCAGATGCTAACATTGTAATGGATTATATATATTATTTCCATGAGAGGTATTGTTTATCAATTGCTATTGCTCTTGCACATATTGCAAGAGCAATAGCGCTTACCTCATTGCCTCCATCTCGTTGCCTCAATTCATAGAATCTTTTAGCAGTTAGCAATTCAGCTCTAGAAGATTGTAAAACGTACAGATGAGCATTATTTTCACCAACAAACTCTGCCCGTGGGAATTGCATACAAGTTTCCAACATGTTCTCTCATCAAATGAGCAAACATGTTGCAAACTTGCATGCACATAACGTATGTATTTAATGTTTTAAGTTGGTATGCACTTCATAAGGACAAGTTTACAGTCTAGTAAACAGTACCATAAATATTTTTGCCTGACATCTTTCCATTTCCAGGCTGTGAATAAAGTGTAATAATTTTTATATATAGTGTTATGCTTATGGCCTTGTACTGAATTTTGCAGTTTATAAGATAAACTTTACAAAATAAAAATCAGATACTAATATAAAATGATCAGATCTAAAATGCTTGTTCGTACATATAAGTATTTGAGAGCAGAGGAAAGATATTATATAACTAGAAATCTTTTGTAGTTTAAAATTTCCTTAGTAGAATGATTTTTATTTCTTTTACAAACATTTAACTAATTTGCCCTAATATTTTAATACATATTATAAAAATAATTTTTTAATATTTAACTTGCTATATGGTTTAAAAATTAATAAACTACCAACTTGCTACAAAAAATGATTGATTGGATTATTCTGTAAGGAGTTCAAACTAATAATTGTATTCTAAATACCATTTTGTATGTAAATACAGTGTATTACAAGAGTATTTACAAGAGTATTTACAGAGTATATACAAGAGTATTTACAGTATGAAAGTTGCAATTTGTTAATAATGAAGCATTTATAGGAGCAAAAATTAGATTTATCAGTTGTAAAGTAGTATATTTAAAAAAAAGAAAAATATATTTGGGTTAGGTTTCTTTGCCAACATTGTCACTACAGTTATGGAGGCTTCTCTTTTTTTGATTAATTTATTTGCAACTCTTTCTCATTCTTAAACTCTAAAATATGAACCTTGTTAAACAAGATGGCTGCTGCATTAAGAGGTTAAGCGTAATACTCAATACTAATATTTTAACTTAAGTATATTTCATAATATGCTTCATATTAAGAAATATAATTAAATTCAAAAACAACAAAGTAAAATGTTTCCAAAATATTATACTATTATTTAGAACAATTTTAATTGCAAATGGAAATGATGTTTTCAGCCAGAAATGCTAGAATTTGTTGTTTCTCTATAAACTTAAATTTAGTTTTTTGTAAATTTAGATTAAATGTATAAAAATGGTATTTTGTTAATCAATGTTTTAACATTGTTACATTTTTTATTTTTATCTTAAATGTACATATATCAAATTATAATTCATAATATAAATATCTTAAATAAAGACAAATGAAAACATTTTATTTTCTTCAAATTAATAGTTATATTTTTATAAATATTTGATGACAGTTGTATTACCTTTAACTTTTTTCTTTTTTTTCTGTTCTTTATTTCTCTAAATGTTTTATTTCTTCGTTTATCTTTTCACAAAAAAAGGTACGCTGCAATGGTGCTAGTTCATCACCTCTTCAATTGACAGCTAATTGGCAATGTGAAAAAGAAATAACAAGTTTTAAAGTGGCATACAAAGTAAATGATACTTGTATGTCTTCACCAGTTGCATTAACTAATGTATCAATAATTGCTCCTGTGAATGGTGTTGCGGCAATGGTACAATCGAAACCAGCAGCAATTTGGTGAGATTTTTTTTTTTTTTAATTTTTGGCAAGTAGTTTAGAAAAAATGAAAAAGTATTCAAGTTAAACTAAAGATATTAAAGTATAAAAACTTCATGTCTTCTTCTCAAGTCTTTAGTTTCTTCTTCTTAAGTCTTTTTCTATAGTATCAAAAATTATAAAGCTTTTTGCTTCATTCTAACTGATTCTAGAAAGTTAATGCGGATTCAAAATATTCAAAAATTTATGTGTTTTGCTGTAATCATTAATATTATTTTATGTTTTTATAAAATTTGGATGTTTTACTATAATCATTAATATTATTTTGTATGTTTTGCTGTAATCATTAATACTAGCTGTCATGACCTGTAAAATACGGGTCTTGGTAAATCTATTCCACACTGACCTTTTCTATACTTATTCTTTATTAGAAAAATAATTATACTATTTACTTTAAATAATTATACTAATTATATATTGCATATATAAGAACTATACTTATTGTTTACTTTTTAAAGCTATAAAAAGTTACAAAGCTATAAAGTTAATTACATTTTTTTTTTATAATTAACATTACACATTTCGGTAGAAGTTTTGCGAATCGCTATTTATTAACATATTGGATATTAGTATTAACACAATAAAACTCTATCATGATATATACACCAAAAATTTCTAATGGTGTTTTCATATTTTTAAATAATTTTAAAAAGTTTGTTATAAGATCTTTTGTTTGTTATAATATCTTTCTATGTTATGCATATAATATCTATAGACCTTTAAAAATGTTTAACTTTGCATTCTAGAAATTTGAAATAGATTTAAAAAAAAAATTAAGCGTGAAATCGAAAGGATTTAAACCCACGCGAAGCACTTCAACCACTATGGCATGTAATATTATCTTTTAACACTGTTTAATAAACCAAAGACTTTATTAAACTTTATAAAAATATTAAACTTTATCAAATGACAAATAAATGCTTTATAAAAATGCATATAAATCAAAATTAAGCAAATTAATTTTGATTTATATGCATTTTTAAGCCGCAATAAAATTTTCAATCAAATATAAATCTGTAACATTTGGTATAATTTTTAATGATTTACATAATTTGAAGTTTACATTAGATGTTCGCATTTTCGTTCACACAGATAAAATACGAGTCATTTGGTTACAAAAAAAATTTTTTAAAAAAATATGTTTTTATTTACACATTAACAAATTAACAAAACATAACAATTTTTAATAGTTTTCAATTGTATGTCTATATTGAACAAACATGTCATCTAATTAATCTAAAAAAAGTAATTGAATTAAAAAAGAAAAAAATGCACCACATCTATTATCTAGTAAACAATTTATTTATACATAATAACAAAACAAAATATCTAAAGAAAAGTAAATATTTACAAAAAAAATATAACTAAATTTGCATAATTAATTACAGATTGATAAATTAACCAATTACAAAATTACTAACTATAGATGCAGCATATTTTTTTTCCCCACCACTCCACAGTGGGTCAGATTACCCATTTTTATGCCAAAATTATTTTTTTATTAAATGTTACTAAATTAGCTTTAAATAACATATTTGGAGCTTCTAAATAAATTTTTAATTAAAAAAAAAAAATTTTTAAATTGTATTTTAAGTTTTATTATAATTTTTCAGCGTTCAAAAATTACGATCATATAAAATTTGCAACCCCCTCAAAATAAGGGGGGTTTAAACTTTATATGGTCATAGTTTTTGAATGCAAAAATATTTTACTATGAAATTTAAAATTTATCAATGAATATAAGTCTAGTTGAAAATAGTTCAAAAAATATTTCATCAACTTGTTCTCACGTTTGGGGCTGGGAGGGCCCTCAAGGGGGCTAAAATTTTGGGGTTTTATTGTTCCCAGGCTCAAATCATTGCTTTTTTTTTTGCAAAGCATCCTTATTTGACATAAGTATAAACATATAAATGTTTGGAGTTTGCTCCATGTCTAGAAGTTAGATATCTCGTAGACCAAAAAATGCTGGCACTACCCCTGCTGTTATCTAAAAGTTATTTTTTAGACAAGGTGGTACTTTGTTGAGGCTCAAATCAATTTTAAAATATCATATATATACTTAATAAAGATTTTAAAGTATTTTCAGACTGGAGGGTTTTGGAGGTTTTTTTAATTAACTAAAAAAAGTTAAAATTTTCACTCAAAAAACTTACAAAAATACATCAACTTCAAAGTTAAATAAAAATTCTTACTTATAAGCAAAAAACTTGCAGCAAAGTTCTGTTGTTTAAAAAAAGATAAATCTATCAATATATAAAAAAATAATAGCGCATATATTTTAATTCATAAAACAATTTACAATTTATGTGTAGCAACTTTTTTTTTAATTAATTTTTGTTTTAAAATTTACAAATCTAAAAAAAAATGTTATCTTCAACTGATTGTATAAACTTTAATTTAAAAGTTAATGACAAAACAAATATCATTTTATTAAAGCTTTATAAGTATGGAAAACATTATCATTAAACCTACATTAAACACAGTTTTTTTTTTTAATTTTGACACAATTTTGACCCACTGTGCACTCTCTCTCCTCATACTTTACTTTCTACACGATCAACAATCTATATTTAAAAAAATAGAAGAAAAAAAAAGGGGGGGGGGAACTTTTACCCTAAAAAGTCCACACTTAATGTGTCTTATGAGATGTGGGCCCTCTATTTGATCTGCATTAAGCTGAAAAAGCATTGTAAGATGTCTAATATTAAAAAAAATAAAAAATTAAGACATGGTAAAAGAAGTAAAAACATTAGAGATTAACCTCAAGCGGAGTAACACTACAAAACCTCAAGCGGAATAACACTACAAACCAATTTACCTGTTGCTGATGCTTTTTATAGAGCATTGTTAAAAATAGTCATAATCTGTAAGAAAAGATATTTGTTGCAAAGACAATTAACTATTGCACAAAATAACAAAAATATATAATACCTATTGGTACAAACAAATTTTGTAATTTGATCAGAAAATAAAATTATTCTTACCTTGATTGCGATAAACTAGTTTCTTTTTAAACTATTAGCTAATGATCAACATAGCAAATTTAAAATAATTAAAGTTTAATAAGTTAAAACCATATTTTAACAGTAGACTAAGTAAACATATGATAGTTGGTAGAGCACCAAAGTAGAACTAAAGAAATAAAATAATAACTAAATTTGCTATGTAATGCATATTATACCTATATAGTTCTCGCCTAACCTGATTTCTTTCATTTTGATTACAATTTATTTCAGTTTGTATAGGCTCATCTCTTTTATTTCAACGATGGTTTATCTCAGTTTGTCTAGGCTCATCTCTTTCATTTCGGTGATGGTTTAATTCATCTTGCCTAGCCTGGTTTCTTTAATTTCGACAAAGTCTAATTTCACTTCTTAATTATCAGACGTAATTAGGCATCAAAAGAGTGTGTACGAATGATGCTTAATATAATAAAAGTTGAGGTTTTAGTTTTCTTTCTTAAACTTATTTAAAATAAAGTGTATGCAAATAAAACAGAGCATAATATAATTATCTATTATATTCTCTCTATTAGTCATATTTAAATTACATATTTTAAAATAATATAGCAATGTGTAAAGATAACATACTTCTATCAAGAACTTAAACTAAAATTATAAATAAATTGATATAATTTTTTTAATTAAGTAATGTTATATATTTAAAGTAGTTCTTATCAATTATTGACAAAATATTATAAGTATTTAATAAAATACTCAATAAAGCCAAGTCACATTTTAGCAAAGTTCACCACTTGGTTAGCAAGGTCAACACTCGTGCTGTAAACTAAGCCAAGTCACAACAATTTGAAACCATGCAAACAACATAATAACCACTCACAAACTATAAACACATAACATTATAACACATCACAAACATAGTAACACTTCATATATAAAAGATATTTACACACTTACAAAATATAAACCCATATAACCTTAACACATAAAAACACATAATAAATAACACATAAATATAACTAAATATGTAAATTAAGAAAATATATATATATTACAAACATTTATAAAATACAACCTTATTTTTGTAATTTTTGTTTATGACATAACTCGTAATAAATTTTTAACATTTATCTTTAATAATGACATAATTCATAATAAATGTTTAACAACTTTAAAAAAAACGATCAAACGACCTGGTTTTTCATATTATAAAACCAAACAGATTTTCTTTAACTTTTATAAAATAAGGTAAACGATCTTGTTCTTTAACATAGTAACATAGAGTTGACCGTGTGAGATGCAAGGGTTTTGGAGATAAACGCTAACTTTATCAAGAGTTTGACCTCTTGACCTTTGAAAAGAGCATTGTCTTCTAAAGTCATCATCATTTTCTAATTTGAAAAAATAAAAATTTCAGATTAATATACTTTAAATACAATTGACAAAGGACTTGAATTGTGTTATTTTATAATGAATGAATTAAAATAAGTTACCTGACTTAGTTATTATACTAACTTAAGAATAACATAAGGTTTATCCTTTACAACAGAAGTCATCAAATTAAAAAATTGTCGATCTTATTACTAATTAAGCTGATAAAACAAGTTTTTTGATCTTATTAAGCAGATATTAACAGATTATTAAGATTTAAGAGTACCTTATCGCGTGATCAAAAATATATTAAAGGGCCAAGTATGGTAAAAATTCTGTGTCAAAGACGCACGAAAGGGTAACAGCAGCAGCTTTAAGTTAAATATTAATTATAAGCGATTATTATTATGTATGTTTTGCTGTAATCATTGATATTATTTTGTATGTTTTGCTGTAATTATTAATATTATTTTAGGATTAATGAACAACAAAAGTGTATTTGGAAATTATCATCTATTTCTTCTGATGAATCTCAGGGTCAGCACTTTTATTACAAATAAAAATACTTTTTTATATATTTGATTCACAAATATAATTTTATTTTATTTAATTATAGGTTACAATTCTTTATTTGCAAGCTTTGGTGTTAGCTGTGGTCCTTCAGACCCTGCTCCAATTAACGTTCAGTTTATGGGCGAAGGAAGCACTATTAGTTTATTACAGTTTGAACTAACATCGCCTGCGTATAAATTATCTCTTGTTAAAAAAAGATTTGCCACTGGTAATTTTTCATGTTTTTATTTAATGTTTTAAGTTAATAAAATTATTGTCTGTTGAATATAACGCAAAACATACAATTTCTCTCTCTACATCCCTCTTTATCTTAATTTTATTTTAAACATCCAAAGTCATTTTACTTTTAACTTGAATTTATTTATATTTTTTTTCTAAAATTTTCATGGTGATGATTGTCAAACTTTTATAAGTTTTAAATTCTTATAAGTTGTAATAAGTTTTTAGCATAAAGCTATTGATGAACAGAGAAATCTTTATTAATAAGTATCAGTAGCATTATATTTTAACATTACAGATGATGGATTTATTTATCAAAATTGTATAACAAGTTTCCTTTTTTCGATGCTATTTTGCATTCTAGCTAATCAAAACCAGTATGTGTAACATATCTCGGTTCTTAACAAAACAGGTATGTGTAATATATCTCGGTTATTAACAAAACCAGTATGTTTAATATATCTCAGTTCTTAACAAAACCAGTATGTTTAATATATCTCGGTTCTTAACAAATATTCTAAAAGACATGCTTTACGAACATCAGCAGTTTTCTGGCCCATTTTTAATAACCATTTGTGTTGAAAATAGTCTTTTAATTGACTTATGTCTTTATAAAGATTTAGCATACATTAAAATTTTATTTAATTTTATCTTTATCTTAGCTTTAAAATCAAAATTTGTTTTACCTTTGTTACCTTTTATCTTTTGCTTTTTTTACCTTTTATCTTTTTTCTTTGTTACCTTTTATCTTTTGCCTTTGTTACCTTTTATCTTATGCCTTTGTTACCTTTTATCTTTTTGTCTGTCAAAGTTTCAAAACTTTAAGATTACAGCATTTTTAGTCTCTGACTTAATAAAGTTATAATAAAAATTTAATTGAAATTGTTATTTTTATAAATTGCTATTTATTTATAACTACTTATTATCGTTTATTTTGCTAATTTAGGGAAATTTCTTGTTGATGGATCATGAATATGCTTACATAACGTTTTGGCGCAATTATATTATTCGCAGATAAAAAAAAAAGTTCAACAATTTCACTGATCTGCACTTTAAATAGTATATATTTTTTTAATACGTTTACTAAATCGAACAAAGCAGCCGTTATAATTAGCTTACATTAATTAAATTTAAAGTTAAGCTTACTCTGGAAATTCTCTGAAACGAATTTTATACTGTGAGAAAACGTAAACAATCACTGCTTACTTTAAAATAGCTTGCTTGAAAGTTAGCCTCGCTTGTTAATAAGATTTCTTTTCATATATTGTGTTATTTTTATTGAAAGTGTAGAGATAATCGAAATCGAATGGTTTTATACATGTTTCTGTAAAATATGTACATATTTTACATTACATACATACATGCATATGTGCATACACAAATATATATATATATATATATATATATATATATATATATATATATATATATATATATATATATATATATATATATATAAACACACATTTATGCATAAATATATATACGTATATTTACATTTATGTATGTATATATATATATGTGTGTGTGTGTGTGTATATATATACATGTATATATATATATATATATATATATATATATATATATATATATATATATATATATATATATATATAATATATATATATATATATATATATATATATATATATATATATATATATATATATATATATATATATATGTAAATATATATTTTTTTTATGTTTTATCTAATGAAGTATAAAAATTTGTATACTTGAGCGTCACTTGTGGAAATCATATTTAAAAAGTTTTATGATTATCTCTCGCGCTTTTAATTTATTTTTCTAAAACTTCTTTATTTTTTAAATTATTTGTTCTGTATTGTAACTTTATTATTTTCAATAGGGTGGGAGTGAATTAAGGGCAAAAATCGAACCCATCACTTTGTAATAAGTTTGATGCTATTTTAATTTACTTTTAAATAAAAGAATAATTTAGTTATTTACTAAAAGAACAGAAAAACTAAATTTTATGCTTAAAGATCCGTATTTGTACTATCAAGTTATGAAACCGAACTTCATATAAAATCTTAAAAACGAGGATTGATTCTAACTAATTTAACTAAAAAATAATTTTAAATATGCTCTAATTTCTTTATATTGTATATTTAACCTCTTCCTTAAAAATAATTTTACTTTAAAAATATTTTTGGATTAAATTTCAGAAATATATATACATATATTTTTTACATAAGGAGAATTTATAATCGTATAGTGGTGGTGGCTGCGTAGAAATAGATGGAGTCAACATCCCATCACTGTATAATCGTTTGATTATCGAAAAAATTTCTTAACTTAATGAATGCTTACGCTTACAACATTCGCACGTTGGTTTTTCAATTTTATTAACTAAGTTTGAAATTTAATTCGAATTTCAACAAAAATTTAATTTTCAATGGGAAAGATGATATATAAAATAATAATAATAAGGAAAGATAATATATAAAATAATAATATATAAAATGCATAAAAAGTAATCAAATGTTCAAAGGATTCAACACCAGCAAATGTTTAAAATTACTCAAAACTTTATTATTATTTTTTTTTTAAATTAAGTTTTGTACAAAATACATAAATTAAGAATACTACTAAATATATACTTTTTTTTTGCCTCGATTTTATCGGGAAACATTCATAATTTTAATCGGTTCAAAAAACAATAACTTGTATAACATGTTTCCTAAACATTTAAGTTAAGTATCGACATTTGAAGATTATTAGAGTACATCAAAAATTATCTTTTTATATAAAATAATAGTAAACAAATTTATCAAGCCTAAAAATTTTAGGAATTTATCAAAATTTAAATCAACAGAATTTTAAAATTTTGAAATGTCGACCCCTAGAAGATAGCATAACTATTTACGGAAATTTTGAAATGATTTGCACTAATGCTTTCACAGGGTATGGTGTTTTTAATCAGGCTTTTTTGCGAAATTCAATAACAGAAAAAAATCCAAAAGAATATTAAATTTTTGGTTTTAATGCTATGCACAGTGGGCCATGATCGACATAAAATGGATAAAAAAAATTTTATCTGTGAAATTTTTATCAGTGACCCAAGTCATTATGAAGATTTTTTTTTTTTTTTCCTGAAAATGTAGGCACCCTAATAGTAAAAGGTGTATTGGGCGTAAAGGATTTTAAACATTTGGTGATTTTTAGAAACAAGGTTTCCAAAATTCTTATCATTAATTAATTCAAATGTTTGTTACGTGTTAGACCCCTTTTTATAAACAAAGAAACATTGATTTATAAGATATTTTATCAAAAATTAGGTTAAAAATATACAAAACTTAAAATTATAAAAAAGTTACAATAAAAGTTTAATCTTTGTTAAGTTCAAGTTGTTTAATACATCTCAAACTTCTTCTTAGAAAGCTAATAATTAGATCTGAGTTGCACAATAAAACTTCGCATAACATCTTCATTACTGACTTTTCACTAATAATTTCTCGTATAGTGTTCTCTTATAATTTTTAACGTCTTTATTTCGACATTCCTGAGCTTCTTCAGAAAGAAAACCTACTGGTTATCTCTTACTAATTGAAAAATATGAATTATTAGTTTATGTTTAATTTGCGGCATTGAAAACCATAGGTACAGAGATACGTAGAGCTCTGCTGTTTCTTTGGTATATTTCTCAAGTTCGTCAACGTTAATTTAATGTTTGCATAATAAAACACAAAGAATGACTAACGTTTCATGAGATTTATATTTAAGCCAAGTATTTCAGCAGACACCTTATAGTTTCGGAATTCTTTTCGTGCTGTATTTCCATTATTTGTTTTACCTTTTTGATATATCTACAACTAAACCTAAGTAATATTTCATCGTTTGTTGAACAATGATCTTTTTTTTTTACATATAACAATTTCTTTAGCATCCTCTCCGCTAACTTGTCACTTTCCTAATTCAATTCTATAACTTATATGAAGGCAGCATTTAATCAATGCATGTAATGTGCTTAATCCAAGCTCAGTGGAAACTGCATTAGAGTTTTTTGAAAAAGCAATATTTAATTTGTTCATATTTGAAGGGATCAGTCCACAAATACTACATATTTGAAAAGAATTACTTAAAGACGAAGCTATAGTATCCACTTTTTCATCAATCATTGTGCATTCTAACTTATGTTTGATAATAACGGAAATAAAGACCGCTGGTTTTAAACAACTGTTCTTTAAAAATATATATTCTTGTGTAATAACCTCAGCACTTTCTTTTACATATTGATACACTTTCTCGTACATAGTTTAGAGGATGGTTTTTCATTAGCCCATAGTGATTCCCCAGATTCTTTAATATAGAGTTTAGTTGGAACAATGCATGATAGAAACGTGTAGCAGAATAATATCGCAAATTTTCGCATTTTTGATTGTCGAGTAACAGAATAAGGAATAATGTCGCAAATGAATTTAATGAATAGTGTCGGAAAAAAAAAGGAATAATATTGCAAATGGTTTTTTTTTTTTTTTTTTTTCCTTTTTTTGTTACTATTTTTAGGTGCCCCAAGAAGACCTAACGGTCTTGTCACAGAGCACCGCAGAAGTGCATTTAACCAGGAAGCTCACGCCTCCTTCCTTACCATGATGCGAAAATATGTCCAGAACTTGTTTCTAACCTGGATCTCCTGCTTATAAAGCAAGCGCTTTAACCACTGCGCCACGGCCACACCAAAAGATTTTAATGAATTTGTCGAAAACAAAGAAAAAGGAATAGTGTTGCAAATGAATTTAATGAATAGTGTCGAAAATAGAAAAATGTGAAAATGTCCTAAAGGAGTTAATTAGTAACAAAAAAATAATAATAATAACTATAAATGTGTGTTTAGATAATATGTCTGATGCCATACTAAAATAGCCTGCTGCCGGGGGTTCCAATACATACACCGACTATCTTATAGCCTGCTGCGGTTATATTGACTGAGGGTTTAGGGTTGAGTAGCAATCTTTTCTTACATTATTTTTTGTTTTTTTCTCTTTTTTTTTTATGTAAAATCGGTATACTATAAAGATAAGCAAAACGAGTAAGCAATTTCTGAAATTAACTATTTGCGACACTATTCCCTTTTTTTGATTTCGACAGTATTCATTAAATTCATTATTCAACACTATTCCTGTCACTCGAAAAAATAATACTTGTTCTTCAACATAACTGATACTTATCTCGTCTTCTGTACTTTGTTTGGCCGGTTGAACCATAAAATCCTACTTTATGTATAAAGATAAGAATGGGTTTCTCAGGAACCTTTGCAGATTTGTTGAATATTTTTAACAACCTATATGAATATGGTCAATAAGGCTCTGTAAATCAACTGAGGCTGAATAATCAGTAGTTTGTATTCTACAACTAGGTACGGATGAATTTTTTTCTTCCCTTACTTCATTATAAGTTGGATACAACTTGTTTTCTTTAGAAACTGCTCCAACACGAGTTGTTTGGTAATCAGCTTTACTAAGTCGGCATTCCAAAATTAAAGCTGATGCTTCCTCTCCAGAAACATTGTTGTTAAACTAACTGCACCATTTTTCACTGATTTTAATATTTGCTTCCACAACCTTAAGTGTAAAAATGTAAATTTTAGGAGTGAGATGAATATAATCCACTAAGAAAATTTATCCCCTTTAGTATTTGGAGATTTTTTTTAATAAATAAATTTAAAATGACTATAGTATATATGATAATGTATCTAAGCATCGTTGAACCTTTTTTCCACTTTTAGTTTTAAAATAAGTAAGTAAAATAATTTTTTCTCTTTCGACAGCAATGTTTGTTTTTTTCTGTTCTCCTCTTCTTTGCTTTTTCAGTAGCTTGGGTGTGGAACTTGCACCTGGTGGCCTTTCGTAGACAACTAATTTAAATTTAAATATCAAATGATTGTATTTAGAATAAACACAAACTAAATAGTAGAAAACATCATGAGTCCATTATTTTTATTTTTATGAAATATCATACCTAAATTGTGAGAAGTAAAAAAAAGCCAAGTCCGAGTTTTGGCCCTTGTCTAGTTTATTGTTTCAAAACATGCACCGCTTGCTTGTAGTTTTTTTTCTGACCAGATTTTTGCATTAAATTTTATTGTCTCTTGGAGTTTCCGTAATTGCAACGTAATTATTTAGAATTCATACTTAACAACAATGTGCTTTGAACAATTGAAAATGACGAACGAGTTGTATGTTTAAAACCTGCTAAACTTTAAATAGCGCAACTTTGCGCAAGATATTTTTAACGAGAAACCTGCCACAATAAAAAGACAGTAAAAATGTTATTCCCAGGGTAAAAGTGAGCGAAATAAGATCTTGAGCCTTTTATGTTTTTTATTGTATTTTGTACTTTAACTGTCATTTTTCAAGTTAAGAAAAAAGTTATAAAATTTGGAAGATAAGAGACAATTTCTCTTTGTTTTTTCACACAGCCAAGGCGATGACACTATAACCCAATTATCATATTTCATCTTTAAGAATATTTAATATTTCAAGATTTTTAACATATACAGCTCTCCTGAAAGCATTAATCTGCCATCTAGTATCAAGTTTTCTACTACAAGGACATTTTTGATATAAATATTTAACAATATGGAAATGTTGATATCTTATTGCTTTGATAAGAAAGCTTTTGTCCCACATGAGGAAATATTCATCAAGCATTATTTTAATAGGTTCAAGGTTACTTTTTGGCAAGCGAATTGGCAGATATCTTCTCAAGGACAGAGGGTTAAAATATTTTTTTTAGTATAAAGCCCCCCAATTTTTTTCTAAAGAACCTTTTTTTTTTTTTTAATAAAAATCTTGAAATAGAGGACTTTTTTTACAAATTTATGATTATACCCCCCCCCCCCACTTCAAAACCCGTCGTCGGCCTGTAGACCCATTTTATTACCGATGCTACAAACTTTTAATTAAAGATCTGAAGATAATATGCATATTAAAATAGCTCAAGCAGTAATAAACTTACAAACACGTTACCTTAATTTAGTCGCAGAGCCAACGACACTGGTTTCAAAGTTGGGGTGGAGGGGCGGACACAATCGTGGAGGAGGTTGCACAATCGTGGAGGAGGGGGGGGGGCACAATCACAAACACACTCAGAGCCAACAACACCAGCCACCCGCCCCTGTTGTTGTCGGCTCTGAGTCAAAACTGAGTTCGACAGAAAAGATGGTCTTAAACTAGCATTTGATTAAGCCCTTCAGACATGGCAAACAGCAGTAATCATTTCCAAGACAAATCAATAAAGCCCTTATAGCTGTAGGTCAGCCCGGAAATCAATCTGATGTCATTGTCTTTTTTAGGAATGCATTAGGTGTGAATGCTAATCCTGTTTTTATATCATCTCTCCTGTTTTTAATAATGCTGTTCATGAAACTATCGCTCTTTGTCGTGTTAATGCTTTTGTTGCGTCATCTTTAGAGATATGTGGACTCACAGCATTAATGCTTAATTTAAAAAAAGATGGAACCATTCTTAATAAAAAAAAAATAAAAAAGAATTACAATAATCAAAAAAAACAAAAAGTGGATATTTTGTTTTAGATATCTTTTATTGTTGGCTTTAGAAGCCGACATTTTTCGTCTATTTTTTTTTTTTTTTATTGTCTTTATCACCGGTAAAGAAATACCATCCAAAGAGATCTCAAATGGTTGCACCAAGAACAACAAAAAAACTCATTGTTTTTTATTCTTTGCTAGGTTTACAAAAATCTGATAATTCAGGTTTTAAAGGAAGTGAAAGGAGTTCATCATTATCGGTTTGATTTTTTTAACAACCGTTTTGCAATTAAGTCGGGTGACCTCAGTATGATCGTTTTTCCTAGCTTTTAATTCTCCTTCAGCCTGGAGTCGAGTATTAATTTTAATTAATTTAAGGGCTGGAGGTAGGCTGTTTTTGAATAAACCTATTTTATATATATACACTAGTACTTTAATATGCAGGGTCATCTACCAGTTGTAAGAACAACAAACTTGGGCAAAACGGAGCTTGTTCTTTGCCTTTTTGAGAAGAGGCAACAGTCACTATTGCCAACAGTCTTTATTGTTTGCCCGACTATTGAAAACAATCCAACATACCTAAAAATTGAAACTATCCATAATAAGCGGTTTTATTTTGTGGCAATGTTTTGGATTGATGGGTGTGGTTTACAATGTTTAATTGACTTTATAAGTAAGGAGATAGAGAGAGATGAATGCATTTTTTTCATCGATCATTGCATGACTAAGTCTGACCTTGATAGCTGCCGATAATCTTTAGTTGTTAGAGACCTAGCTGTTTTGATACATGTTATTCACGCTCAAGAAAGAGTCAAGCTGCTATTATTTTAACTTATATATATTTGCTTTTGCTTGGAATCATTATTACAAGTTTCGTGTTATCATTTATTTGGAGGTAAAAAATATTACGCTATATAAGTGAAAAATAATGGAGAGCATTTTCGCCATCGATAATAGCTCAAGATATCCCTTCTTGATTAGAAGAAGCTGCTTTTGCTTTCTTTCTTATTAGAACTGCTAGCAGCTATGCTTAAAGGTTTTGAAATTATTTTGAGTTTTATGCTTTTATCGCAAAAGTTGTCCGAAATAGAAGTAATACGTTGAATCTATGTTAACGTTATATTAAAGCGACATGTGCTTGGGGTTTCAGAGAAACTAATTGCTGTTCCATCAGGTTTATAAAACTTTAACCTGGAGCTGGTTAAGGACTTGATATGGTTGAAGACCGTGCCAACTCAATTTATTTGGTTCCCAAACTTGGTAAGTACTTGTTTCCTCAATTTTTTGGAGATCCTTGATAAGTTGCTGTGTAGCTTGCCAATATGTCACATTCCGAAAGACCAGTGGAAATACTTGAAGAACCTGGGCCATCTTGCTATACTATCCGTTTCATTTGAAGTTGGGCAATAATGTTTGCCACCACCAAGATATAAACCATCCAACCCTGCTACAGATAGCAGGGTTGCTCATTGTACTTGCCTGATTCATGTTTTATAATAATATTAAAATATTCAAAATGGATCCCATCCACTGCGTGTGGTAGTATCGATTACAACAGACATTTTATAATTTAACGTCGTTTATTTCTAACACTTGATTTTTTTGTTGTTGTTATACTTATCAATGACTCGGATGATTATGGTTCCAGCAGCTATAAGAAGGATCCCTACATTTTCTGTAAGAAATCCAATGATTATATATAATGTATAAAAAATCCAATATAAACTTTTACCTATAATAGGAATTGGGTCTACAGCTTTTAAGGGTCGCCACTTTAGAGAGTTTGCAAGATGATCAAGAAAACCTTTATTTTTTGTAGTTCAGGTACACAATCAGTCTTTTCTTTGTCACCCCCTTTATCAGGTTCACCATCAGTCATTCCTTTGTCACCTCCTTTTATGTCAGTCTTGCCTTTATGATCAGTCTTGTCTTTCTTAGTAGAACTTATAGATGAACTACGGCTTAAAGTTCTAATTAGCGCGTAAGATAGTTTCAGTATTAGCAAAAATTACAGCAAAGATTGTATACCTTCTTAAGTAAAGATATATATATTTTTTTGTCTTAAACTAAGCCTATCGTCATAGTATAATGTGCTAATAAGTTCTCAAATTTTATAGTATTGGTTATTAAGTTTGATTGCAAAAAGTTTTAAGATTTACATATTTTTTACTGATATTTTGCAAACATTCTAAAACGGTTTTTATTTTCCAACTCCAGATCACCTTAGTTTCCAATTTCCTTGATTTTTTGATCAGTTCTATTCAACCTATATAAAAGTCTACGTATTTCACTATTTTAATCTTCTATTTTTTCACTTATGTTAAATATTTCTTTTTTTATACGTTTACATTTTCATTAACCGTTTTGTTTTTTCCAAAAAAAAATAGGCAAAGGCAAAGTAACTCTGCAGGCATCCGTTATAATTTCTGGGAAACGGTCAGTCGCATTGAATGGGTTAACTTTTAAAAAATCATCTAGGATTTAGGAATTCGTCTTACTTAAATTTTTTGTAGAAACAATACATGCTGTAGACAATGTATGCCATAAACACGCTGCAAATTTCTGAATAATATATATGCCGCAGGGCTTGCCGTACGCAACGCAATTCAGTACGTTTGAGCTTTCACTGGTTTACGTTATTGTTGGCTAAACAATTTTAAATTAATAAACTTGTAGAAGTTAATAACGGATTATTAGGAAAGTTTTACATGCTGATATAAAATTTAAAAAATCCCAAAAATTATAACGACGGGCGGGACTCCGGACTCCGGGTAAAAACAGGGACTCCTGGACTCCGGACTCAATTTCGCATCCCTGATTAATTTGATCGCGCCTTTTTATAATAACCCAATAACCCGTAAGTAATACGCGTGCGTGTTTAAAAAAAAAAATGCGCATAAAAATTTTAAAATTAAATTAAGTCTGTTCGGTATTTATTACTTAATTAGTTTACATTTGTGTCATCTTTAATGTTTTTTTGTATAAAGATTAAAGTAACGAGTTTACCTTTATTTAGTAACATTTGCTATTAATTGGTACTTAACTGTAAGCTATTATAGCTATAATACTGTTATTACTAATAATAATTATATTCAGTAGATATAGTTTTTTTAAGTAGTTCAGACTGCAACTTCTTAATCATTCTGAAATATCTCAGATTTACCAATTTCTTATTTTCATTTTTTTATTAAAAGAACATAAATTGTGTAAAAAATTTTATATAATATATAATGTATATAATAAAAATAATAATAATAATAATAATAAAAACAATAATAATAGTAATAACAATAATAGTAATGATAATGATAATATATTATGTTTGTATATATACTATATTCTATATATATATATATATATATATATATATATATATATATATATATATATATATATATATATATATATATATATATATATATATATATATATATATATATATATATATATATGTATATATATATATATATATATATATATATATATATATATATATATATATATATATATATATATATATATATATATATATATATATATATTTATAAGTATATATACATATATATAGTTATTATTATTGTTTCTATTATTAAAATGTTTCTTTTATTCAAAGTTATAATTAAAATGAAATTTTAATCATATCTTATTAAAAATGGAGAACACTGAAGACATTACAATAAAATACCAAAGACTAGGGCAAGAGTACCAAAAGGTTTTTAATATTGATATAAGCTGATATTAAATTTTCATTATTTTGTGGCATTCTTGTAAATATAATTTAGATGTAAATGTTTTTAAAAATTATTTTTTCTTCTAGATATATCATTGGCCCTAATAAAGTTTCCTTTTATTATTATTATTATTATTATTATTATTATTATTATTATTATTATTATTGCTATTATTATTATTATTATTATTATTATTATTATTATTATTATTATTATATTTTTAATACAATAAGAGGTGGATTCTATGTCATCATGCACTGAGTCTTCCTTTAAATACTTTATTTAAATTTTGTCCTGGACTATGTGCTGACTTTTAACTATTTTAATTAAATGTATTTTCTAGTTACTAATTCTTTTTCCTTTCTTTGTACCTTGTACTGTAAATAAGTGTTAATTTTATTAATATTGCTTAAGTCTTTTGTTAAGTAATTTAGCTCCTGTTACACTTAATCGCTTTAATTCAAAGCTCTTTATTGAGTTTCTAATATTTATTAAATAGTCTTTAATTTGTATGAACATAGTTTTCATTGTTGGATGACAATTTGCAATTATCTGTGATTTTCAGTATGTGTTTCTCTTCTGCTAATAGGAGATTCTAAACTTGATTAAAAAAGTGATTTAAATAATGATTAAGCATGAGTATCTCTTAGCACATATCATTCTTGCTTCTTTGTTTTCTATAACATCTATTTTAATAAGTTTTTGCAGTTGATAAGTAGAGAGAGCTTCAGTATTCTAATTTACTTCTGATAAGTGCAGTATATGACATTGTTAGTTGTTCTTTTGGATGTAATAAGGATGTTTTTGCTAAAACATTTTATGTGCCATTACATTTGTGTATTGAAGAACTAATCTATTTTATTTTGGGATCTGTAGCTCTTTTTTTTTCTCTAGTAATTTAAAAACCATGTTTATGTTTTTGTACTGCAGCCTATATCTTGTATAAAAGTAATTGGTGTATAATCTGTGGTACCAAATAAAATGCCTGTGATAAGTAATTAAAAAGTGCTCCATCTGTGCTACTCTGCATTGATTTATACCAAGAACCCATTGCAAGAGCCAGTGTAGCAGCTTGAGTTTTTCCTAAGACCAAGATAAGATGTTGATTCCCTTTGCCATGCCAAAGATCAGCTAATTCTTTGGATAAATTTAGGTCCCTAGAATGTTCTTAGTTTAGACCAAACTTGTTGGTTAGAAACATGAACATAATCTTTATCACCTAAATTCAGAAGTCAGTTGCAACTCCTTTTCCATGAAATATCTTTTGTTCTGATAATTCAACAGGAGTATCAGGTAAATCCTTAAGTCACTTATAGTTCCAAATTGAATTGCTATTGTTTTAAAGACTTAATCCATTTGGTGTTGAAAAAATTTTACATAACTTTTTTTTTTACTTAATTTACTCTTTTTCTATCTTTGACAATCAATTAAAAAAAAAAAGGTTTTTATGCCGTTGTTGCCTTCACTAAGCATAAAATAAAAACTTGATTTAAATTATGGGTCATTCAAAGATTCATTTGATTTAACTTAATATTTAAATCGGCATGGTTTATATTTATATTTAATTCAGATTAGTTAATATATGGTTCAAAAGGTGTACATTGTATCTGTGTGTGTGTGTGTGTGTGTGTGTGTGTGTGTGTGTGTGTGTGTGTGTGTGTGTGTGTGTGTGTGAGTGTATGTGTGTGTGTGTGTGTTTACAATATATTAAAATGTAAAATTGATATTGTGTGCAGAGAGGTCTTGAGGTGCCCTACCATAAAATTATTGGAATAATTTTATAATTAGGCGCTTTGATTATTTCATAATTGAAGCATCCTACTACTGGGCCCTTCAATTATGAAATTGTATGTCGGAACAACTGTTGCATTAGTGAATCAATTATTTTATAATTGATTCACTAATGCAACTGTTGTTCTGAAAATCAAGCTGACCTAAATTTCATTCATCAGCATGTGACACAAAATGATGATTCAAATGAACAATATTAAAGTAATGAAAGTGATGAAAATGAACAGTCAACAATTGTTTTCAAACAGTGCACAATAACAGATAGAACCTGTTTTTAATGAAGCTTCTAAATTCAGAGAATAAATTCTGTGTGAAAAGCCTAATAAAGTTTCTTTCCGGCAGGTTTTGCTGAGAACTACACTTATGTAGTGCAAGACAAGATACCGAGTTACCATCAGACTAAAAAACAAAGTTCTCTTTATTTAATTGTCATTTGTTACATAAAATAGAAATCCAATGTGTCTTCTTTTTGTATAGTTTTACATGATTTGAACCGTGATGTTTGATTTTTTGATGAAGTTATGCATTAAACCCTTATTTTTATCAAAACTAATGTTTGTCCAACAATTACAAAAATTTATTTTTATTTCTGATGGTTGTGCAGAACAGCATAAAAACTGCAAAGATTTTTACTTTTCACCATGCTGAAGATTTTTCTGTTTAGAGTATTTAAAGTAGAATTTTTTTTATTTTTCTAATGTAAACTGTAACACTAATATTGTTAAATTCACTAATTTAGAATTACTGTAAATAAAAGATAAAAAAAATCTTGTGATCATGAACAAAATTAAAGTCCCAACTTCAACAAAATGACATGGTAAAAATAGTGTCGTGAAGTTAAAACATTTTTGGTTAAACAGTATTTGGCATTCTGCAAGCACCCAGCTGACACATCTAGTTTCATTTTTAAAAATAAAATCTGTATAGGCGTGTTCATAAAGATCCAGGCGTAATCCAAAAGCATGTTGATATTGCTAAAAAGAAAGAAAGCAATTGACAGAAAATTTAAAAAACTGTAAATCATGTCAGGAAAAATATGAAGATGAAAGAAAATTTTAAAGCTTTGATGTTTGTAGTAAAAAAAATCAGATGAATAAAACATTTTTGAGCATGAAGGAATAGTAAAATGATGCAAATTATCTGAATTTTCTATAATAAGAGTTTTACCAAGACTTTTTATACTCCAGACCAGGGATAAAAATTACTTTCACTCTGGACTTCCACTAAACTTTGTTCAAGTAATAACAGTTAGTGCTCAAAGTGGGTAAAAAGAGAAACAAGTTTTCAGTAATGTCCTACGATATAATTATTACTATATTAAAGAACATAAGAATTGTTTTTACTTTTTAAAAAGTTGGTCAATGAACATCTCATCTCATCTTACCTCACTTTGAGCACTGGAAACTTTGGTTTGTCTTTGATTGCTAAAGTAAACAAGAATGCAAAGTAACGTTGTTATTAAAATTAAATTATTTTTTTTTTAATCTTTAATGAGTGAAATAACAAATAAATGTTATAGCTTTTTTTTTTTTGTATGTTTTAAAAAATCAAGCTTACTAGGAGCATTTGATTTGCACAGCAGCAACAAAAGATAGGTAGCTGCTTGTTTTCTTGCTTATTGCAACATGCAAGTTTAGTTAAAAGTAGTTATAATATTTTTCAGCAAATGTTTGTAGCTAACAATAACTCAAAAAAATTCATATTTGGTATGACAAATAAAGTTAAAAAAGCTAAGATAAAAATAAAGTTAAAAAAGTTAAGTTTAAAAATAAAGTTAAAAAAGTTAAGATAAAAATAAAGTTAAAAAAGTTAAGATAAAAATAAAAATTAAAATTAAATGAAAATTAAAGCACAAATAAATTTTGCTTTGTTAATGAAATTTTCAGGAGCCTATTTAAAACCTTTTTAAAGTTTTTAAATACATTTTTTCAAACAGAGAAATGCTTATAGTTATCTCTAGTTATTTGTACTAATGTTGGAAATCGGGCAATATAAAAGAAACAATTTCAGAAGGGCATCAAACGTAGTATATACATTTATAAAAGAAACCATGCAAACAAACTAATTGCATCATTGAATTTCAGTAGTCAACAATAAACAAACTAATTGCATCATTGAATTTCAGTAGTCAACAATAAACAAACTAATTGCATCATTGAATTTCAGTAGTCAACAATAAACAAACTAATTGCATCATTGAATTTCAGTAGTCAACAATAAACAAACTAATTGCATCATTGAATTTCAGTAGTCAACAATAAACAAACTAATTACATCATTAAATCTATTGTTGATACTTACTTAATTTTTATTTTGATTGAGTGATTAGGAAATTTTTCTAAATAAAGTTATTTTCCTTTATTTTATATTGAAATATCTTATCTAAGAAAATATTGAATTTAGACTTTAACTATGAATATCAATTTACATCTACATCAATCTATAAAAAATTGTTATTACAAAATAATTATATTCTATTAATAATATTTCTTTTGTAATTTATGTTTATTATTTTTTATCTAACTATTGTATTCTTTAAATCTTACATTTATAATCATGATAGTCTAATATATTTTTTTAATTTTAGGCTAGAGCCCAAATTACTGTTCTTAAAAAAGCTGTTATTGACGAACAAGCTGCTAGTAAAGCAACACAGGTTGATTATTTTGAATTAAAAGTTTTTTTATTGACCAAATAAATCTATTTTTTGTTGTTGTTGACAAACCTAAATTTAGGTAGCTGTAAATACCGGAGATATTGGTATAACTTTTAACTTATTTAAAATCTTCCAGGAGATTCTCAAGCAACGTGATCAAGAAATCAGAAAATTTCAACAAGATATTGATAGTTTAGAATTTAGAAATTCACAGGTTACTTACAATTTTATTCTATTTGTTACTTTTAATATTTAATATATAATATTTTAGTATTTAGAATTAATACAGATAGTATTAATTCGCTATTATTAGGCTTAACTCATGTCCAGTTTTGACTAGGATTGTCCTGGTTTCATTACGGTGACCATTATTTTAGTATCAAAAACAGGACAAGGAAAGAAAAAAAAAAAGCTGTAAAAAATTATATGTTTATTAACACAACATCGGTTATTACAAAACAATGGCCATATAATTCAGCCGAAACTGAGCGACTGTTTGAACTATTCACTTATTAATTAGTAACAAAATTAAATAGTAACTCTTATAAGAAGAAAAAAAAAATATGTAAAAAAAAACAAATTTGGTTTTAATGTCACATTTCTTAAAACTATACTAATGACAAGTAAATTACAAATATATCTAATTTTCGCAATTTGAAGGTCAGATCTTAATAAAAATATATATAAATCTTAGAAAAAATATTCATATTTTCATTAATTTTCATATTTTTTCACGCTGTGTATCTGTTTTAGAATATCAATTTTTTTACTCAAATATTCCTTAAATTGTAAGCAATTCATATTATAATTACATCTCAGAAACAAAAGTCTCAATTTTATTTTTTTTTATAAATGGACACTCCATTTTCTTCTTGACATGGCTAAAAAATAAATATATTTAATGAAAAAATATTCAGCCAATAATAATTTCATAATTAAAATAAAGAATAATAATAAATGTAATAATAAAAAATTCGATCCGTTTTTATTTTATAGTAAATATCTGGGGAACTACTTCAATATTAAATAAAGTAATTCCCCTTGGTTTATTAACTCAAGTAATTCCCTCGGTTTATTAACTCAAGTAATTCCCCCAGTTCCATATATTTCATTTTACATTTACATTATATTTTTACATTCAAAAATTAAATTTGAGTATAATTTAAATTTCATTGAAAAACAGTACAAAACAGTACAAATAAATAAAATACAGGACATAAATGCTTAAAAAAAAAAGGACAGCATCTTAAAAATCAGTACTGTCCTGCCAAAAACAGTATGAATGGTCACCGTAGGTTTCATACCATTTGTCCCAGTATCCCAACGATTTTTACATTGTCCTGTTATTGTCTTATTGGCTTTACTAATGAATATGTATGAATATGGATTTTAAATCTGATTCTGGTTAAACATCTAAAATATAGACTGATAAGCTAATTTCAACATTGCAAGATTGATAAAAAGCTGATTTTTGTTCTGACAATTGTAACACAAATTTTGGTGGAGTAAATAAAAAAAGGTAATAATAACATATACAACTGACTCAAGAACTTTGTGTTAATATTGTTGATATTAGTTGTAGCGCATATATTGTGCACAATACACTTTAACCTGCTATGGATAGTCTATCAATCAAAATTTTTGTAGTAAAAATACATAAGTATTTTCATATCTGTTCGAGTAACTGAATTTAAAGTGTTCTGTAAATTTGGAATACAGGTTAATAATCCTACAAAACAAGTTCTATATTTCTTTCTCTGTTGCTGGCATTTAAAAGAATTTTGGTTACATTTGAAGCACCAAAGTCATATTTTATTTCTCTAGAGAACTGTCTATCTACTTTGCTAGTCTATTTTGAAAGTGAAACCGATGAGTTATATTTCTATGCATGGACAGCTAAATAATTTTAACAAAACCATATTAGTTATGGAAAAAAGTCAAGCGATTGTAACAAACATTATTTTGGAACCAAAAAAATTAAAATTTACTCTCTAAATCATTTAATAAAATGGGAGGATATTGTACAGTCTGCTAAAGCTGTAAACATCATTCATGGCTCAAATAATCAACAAAAAATTAATATTGACAGTCTTTTTTATGTGATGCCAAGTGCAAAAACTTGTTTGTTTTTTTTTGCATTAAAAAATAAAGAATAGATTTCATAGAAGATCCAAATCGCCTATGTTGACAAATTGGTCCAATTATTCAAGCATTTTCAAGAGAAATATATTACATACCCATCTGGTAAAAGTTACTGAATACATTTTGTGTTTGTCAGGAATATCTGCAACTGTAGAAGATGTTTTTATGATAATGAAAAATATTTGGTCAGATAGCCAAGGCCTTTTGGAGAAGTCTTCATTATGGGGATTGCTGTAAAGCAAATTGAACTTTGGCATGCTCACTTTTTAATGATAAAATTAAAAAAAAAATTAAACTTGCTAGAAAATTTTATTCTAGCGAGAACTAGTATAAAAAACTATAATCTCCAAAAGATAAAATTATACTTTCTTTATTATTATCAGCCCTCGGAATTTAGAAAAATAAGGTTGACAATTATTTGCCAACCTTAATCTGTGTAAGGTCGGCAGAAAAAATGTGAAACAAAGGTTTGGCTATAAAACATAAAAACGAGGTCAGCGATTTTTTGCCGAGGGCTGTATTATTTAAACGAAGTCAGCGATTTTTTGTGAGGGCTGTATTATTTATTTATTTTGCATGCTATTTAAAAATACATATTTAAGTGATTTAATTTAAACCAAAATGAAGTTTTAACAAAATGATGGTTGTATGTAGTTGTCATGATGTTTTTTTATTGTATATTTCTCAAGTGAATGATTCCAAGCCGATTAATTGGTTGCTGTTTACATGGGCATGGGCTAGTAGGCTAAGTCACTGGTGCTGTACATGTTATATATGTATTTTCAACCCTAATATTATTATAATACCTTAATATAAATATATTAAAACCTATTACTAGCCATAATTAATAGCTGATTGGCCTTTGTCATTGGTACATCGCTGACAAAGATATTAGATACTAAAACAAACAAAAGGAAGATTTTTTTAAAACCTTAGAATTTCTAAAAACATCAAAACACGAGTAGAAATTTGTTGCACAAATGTCTTTTCCTCAAAATTAATTATTTGGATGAAGGTCCTAATAAACTGCAGGTGGTCTGAAACTTTGATTAAAAACTCAATCACAATAAAGAAAAAAATTAATAAGCCTGTACTAGTTTTTTTTTGTAGTTTTACAATTTTACAATAATCAGTTATAAAGTATTGAACATTATTCATTAACTCAAAACAAAGATTTTAAAGATTTATATTTTCTACCGCTTACTTAAAATTAAAATAAAATTATTATATAAAGTACGTAAATAATAATTAAAATTATGATCCATACTATATGCAAGCCTTCCCAGAAAAGGCGTGCGGTTTTTCGTCTGGTATGACCACACGCAAGTATATTATTTTAGACAACTTGAACACGGCTGTTTGCAAGTTTTATAATAATGCTGAAAAAGTTTTAAAAACAAAAAAAAACAAAACTAACAAAATAAAAAAGAGATTGAAATAGAAAAAAATAAAAATAAATTAATAATTTAATTAATTTGTGTACTGTTTTTATTTTTGTTTCTCTAAAGTTACATTCAGTAACAAAATTAGATAAGGCGAAGCAAAAAAAAAAAGTTTCAAGTCTACAATAAAAAGAATGATTTTCCTTTTCTTAATTTTTTTTAAGAGGATAGCAAAAATACAAATTGCAATGTGTTTGTAAAATTTATTTGTATAATTTTAATGTAACCACAAGGGTTGAATTAAGCAAATGCAAAACACAAAATCTGGAAAAATATCTAGAATTCAAAGTTTTAGTTTATACAAAACCGTGTTCCTTTTTTTTAAGGGGAGAATCAACTTAAATTTGTTAGCGAAAAAAAAAAAATTAAAACTTAAATAACTTATAAAAACGTGACAAACAACTTTATAAAAACGTATTGTATTAAAAGTTTAGCATTATAAAAAACGTTACTAATGGACCGTAAAACCATTAAATGTTACTAATGGACCGCAAAAACATTACTAATGGACGGTTTTTTGTAGATGCTTTTCTACTTTAATTAATGTTTGAAATTAATAATGTTGTTTGAACAAAGAATGAACTTTAAAAGTAATAAGTGTTTTATAAATGTAATAACAGTATTATAGTTTTATTACTTTTATAATGCAGTTAGTGACTAAAGTGTTATTACTTTTGTAGTCGTAAGTTTATTGTTTTTGTTTTTGTTTTTTGTAACTTTCTTGCTAGCAAATTTTTAATAATTTGCTCCTTATAAACAAAGTACACAGCTTTGCATGAACTAAAATTTTAAAGACCTAATATTTTACCAGAGTTTGCAAATCGCAATCGTATAATTCAACTCTAGATATAAACTTGTTACATTATAATTATACAAATATATTTTACAAGCAGATGACGGTACATATTTTCTCTTTCCCCTTTAAAAGAAAAAACACATAAAATATGGGAAAGTCATCATTTTTAATGCCTAAAACCTTTTTTTTTTTTTTTTTTTTTTTTTTGCTTTGACTTACTGAATTTTGTTGCCGTTAATAATAACCACTAAGAAAAAACAAAAATAAAAATAACACAAATTATTTAAACTATTATTATTGTTTTCTATTTAAGTTTACTTTAATTTCTTATGTAGTTATTAAATTTAAAACAATTTTTCAGCAACGCGTATAATATACTTGTGCAAACGGCTGTGATCACATTCTCTAACTTGTTTCAAACGACCATGAAAATGTTAGTTTTCGTGGTCGTACAAGACAAGTTAGTTACTGACTACCGTACTTACCGCTACTGACTACTGTAGCTTTAAAATTTTTTAAAGTTAATTATTTTACAATTTTTTTTTCATAACTTCAAAAGATAGACAAAATGTATAGTTTTGTCTCTCTCTTTCTCTCTCTCCCTCTCTCTCTCTCTCTCTCTCTCTCTTTATATACATATATATATATATATATATATATATATATATATATATATATATATATATATATATATATATATATATATATATATATATGTATATATATATATATATATATATATATATATATATATATACACACACACACACATACACACACACACACATATATATATATATATATATATATATATATATATATATATATATATATATATATATATATATATATATATAATTATTTTTCTATGACTTACCAAAAAATATTGAAGTAAGGAATTACTATAGAAATGGTCGGTGTGGAATTGATTTACCAAGACATGATTTTATGGGTTCGGACAAATTTTAGTTATTGCTTAAAGTGAGCTTAGCTTATTTTAACTTTCTCTCAAACAGAGAATAATCTTTCAAGATATATCTTTTAATACACTTGTAAGTGTGAAATGTAGGAATGCTGATATGTGGAGTAGAAGTATTGGGAATGACCTAATATTCTAAATGGCTATTAAAATTATTATTTTTTTAAATAACTCAAAGTTTGTATAAGTTAGTTTTCTTTTTTTCAGCTTTCAAAGCGTGTTGAAATCTTACAAAATGAATTAGATAGCTATGAAAAAAAAGGAAGTAAAAAGGTGAGTGTTACTACATTATTTTACTATGTTTTAAAATGTTTATTTATAACTAAATATATTACTATCTTATGTTTATTTATTTAAGTGTTTTACTGTTACCTTTATTTATTTATTGTATTTTATCTTGTTGTATTGTAGCAATTATTTACAAATATTATATATACAAATTGTTTTAACAATTTATATTTATTAATTAATACAAAATAAATTTATAACATACACACACATGTTTTAGGATGAATCATTTTTTTTGCTATATTTTCCCCGCTTCACAGTTTATACCTCAAAACCTCAGCTTTTTAAGACCAAAAGTGAGAATCTTTAACACTGAAATATTTTTTTTTTTTTTTCTTTAAACTAATAGGCTTATATATTGTTTTAAAATTGGTTGGAAAATTCAAATAAAAAAAATTTACATATTGATTAAAATAATAGAAAAAGTTTAAAATGCACTTATTTTTGTAGCTTATTGCATTTTTTTTAAAATTAATTTTTATTAATAAATAAAAATTAATTTAAGAAAATTGAATAAAATAGTGGTAATAGTTATGATATAACAAGAGCTTCAAGAGGGAGGGGCAAAGGGGGCAAACTGATTCGAGCGCCAGCTTGAAGGGGTGATAAATAGAAAACAATTTAATGACTGACATTGTGAAACCTGTTTAGTTTTTGTAAATCTCATTTAAAAAAACTAAACAGTTTTTGTAAATGAGATTTACAAAAACTAAACTGAAAACTTCAGTATTCGAAATAAAAATGCAAATAAAAAAATAGCTAAAGTTTTAAATTCTATTACTTAAATTTAATATACAGTAATTTTTACGAAAAAAATAGGATTTAGTTGTAGTTGAATTAGACAGAACTGGGGATATTCCATAAACAGTTGGTCATAGCTCGTGCTTGGTTGCATAGAAAATGACGTGCTACGGTAATTGAAATGGTAGTTGATCAGTAGATACTGTCTCATTTTAGCAGTCGACAATGAAGGCAGACAACTTTTTTAGGTAGTGCATTCCGTGGGTGAAAAACTTAGTTGTTAAAGAAGTTGAAGCGAGCAAGACATTTGCTATCGATTTCACGATAAAAGCGCTACTTTTTATTCTAGTATTTGACTGTTGAAGCAAAGTAGAAAATCATAGCATAACATTTTTTAAAAATAGCTGCCTTGCCTCTACCAGGACTCGGCCAGTTATCAAATATTCAAGTTTTGCATCTTTGTTGCACTTAATATGTGTGATTCTTTTCTTGGCTTCTTAGAATTTAGCTTTTCAAGATAACTCATTATAAAGTTCTCTCAATATCAATTTTAATTATTTACATAATTATTGTAATAATTTAATTAAAGTGGCTACAAACAACTATGTCTGCAGGTGAAACAACACACATGAATGGGAAAGAAAATGAAAACTTTGTTGCTGTTATGGTGCTTCAAGCTTAGGCAGGAATGGCGTGCGATCGAGCGCTATTGCTGACCACGCAATTGATTTTATTTTTTGACAACTTGGCCATGAATGTTTATATGTTTTGATGATTTAAACATTTCAGAAATCCGCTGAATGTAGAAACGCTAAGCTAAAGTTAAACTAGGAAAAAATAAAAATAAAAAAATAAATAAAGTCCTAACGAAAAAAAAATTCTGTAAGCACTAAAATAAAAATAAAAACTTAAACCTGATGCAAAACTTTTTGTTTCATTTTTAAGTTACGTTTGAAATAAATGTTATCAAAACTTTTTAAACGTTTTATTAAAGTTATGCAAAACGCTTTTAAAATAAGTAACAAATTACTACTAATGATTGTTTAATAAATGAACAAATTTTATCAAATTTATTTAAAATAGTTGTATATAATTTTTTTAATTTGAATAAACATTTTTTCAAAAACATTGCAAAAAAAAAAAAAAAATTTTTTTAAATAATGCAGTCTTTTTAAAATAATAATTTTAATAATTTCATGCTCTAAGTCTAGTTAAAAGAAAGATTTTCAACTTTTTTATTCGTAAAAATAGAAAAAAATAAATAAAATACGCCTACTATTTAAATAAAATAAACTGCCAACAAGCAATTTAATTTTAATTTGAGCATTACAACTTAATAAGAGCTTTACGCAACGAATTTAAAAATTATTATAAAAGATTTAAGTTTGTTGTAATTTTAATGTCAATAGTGTCAATAATTTGTCAATAATTAGCTTTGCTACTTATTATGTTTTTATTATTATAACAAAAGTCACATATTTTTATTATTATAACGTTTTGTATAACAACCATTAATTGTTGACAAGAGTCACAAGTTGTATTTTTAAGTGCTATATATAGTAAACAATTTTTTTGTAAAAACCTTGAGGTTGTTGATAAGTAATAAAAACATTGAAAACAAAATGGCTTTTAAATCCATTGAACAACAAGCTAACCGGGCATGTCTATTATCTCCGCAATATGAAGATGAATAGCCAAAGCAATTTATTTTGCAGTTGATTTCTTTTTTCGATGAAAAATATTATTTCCGATCAACACGTCGAAGATTTACAAGACCATGAAGAAATTAACAGCACCTTAACAGCCAGAGGGCATTTCGTACAAAGAGTTGGTGATGAAACTGGATAGGTTGGAAATTAGGAAATCATTGTTAATCTCATGGTATAAATTTGGGAAAACTTATTGTGCCAATGATGAATTGATACAGACTTTTGAGCATCAAGTTATCTGAGCAGCTTAAGAATGCAAGTTAGAGAGAGACGACCGACTTTGTGATCAATTCATAATTAGGATTAATGATAGTGCTGTTCTGTGTGCCATTCTTCAAAAATAACGCAGTCTTTTTAAAATAATAATTTTAATAATTTCATGCTCTAATTAGAAAGTCAACGATTTGATTAAAATAAACTGCCAACAAGCAATTTAATTTTAATTTGAGCATTACAACTTAATAAGCGCTTCACGAAACAAACTTAAAAGTTATTATAAAAGATTTAAACTCATTCATTCATATCGTGATTAAAAAAAAAAAGGATGGTATCTACTTCACAATCGTATTCGATGTACCCCAATATATCTCACACTATGTAGGTAACCTTTGTTACTCGTTTTCTCCTCTATGAAAAAGAAACTAAACACTGGTAAATCAAAGTATGATTCTTTTGCGTTAAAGCTTTCGAGATAAAGAAATCAATATAGTCAAGCTTATCGCTGATGTGATTACAAGGCTATATTTGAATCCAAAATTTCAGGTGCTTACAAGACAGCTCAAGCCTTAGTAAGGCAAAATTATTCAAACGTTCTATACGTTCCCTGTAGCGCTCACAGCCTGAGTTTGGCTGGTGTACATGCAGTTGAATCATTCATCAGAGATTAAAGTGTTTTTTCAAAATATTAAATCTTGGTATGTAATTTTTAGTGCAAGTCTTGCCCAATGGAAGATCCTCGCTGAAGCGACAGGAATTTCGCTGTATAAACTTTCTATGGCAAGATGGAGCTCTTTTACCAACTTGATCAAATCACATGTCAGGAGTCCGAGAAAAATGCTGGCAGCTCTTAAACATACCATGGAAAACCTGGATCTGACTAGTGAGCAGCTCAACCAAGCAAGAGGTTTAAAATAATGATTATCATCTTTTAAATTTGTGTTGCTAGTTACAATTTAGTACAAAACACTGCTGTTAATGACGTTAGTCATCTTCTACAATCTGAAGCCATTACCAATGATAACGAGCTACATTTGATTGCACAACTGTTGGAAGATCTTAAGCGGATTAGGGGCTCTTGCTTGAAAGTTTTCAAAGAGGCTGTAGCTGGACCACTAGGGTTCGAAACTGATTTTGTTACTAAATGAAAGTGTAAACTAAAGGGCTTTCACGATGAGGCATCAAATACAGCTATTTCTACGACAGCTAAACAAAAGAATTCAAAGTGAACGTTTTTAATATTGTTTTAGATCCACTCTGATCCAGTAGATTGATTCACAATTCCAGACCAGCAGAATGGCTGGCAATATGTTTTCATTCGTCTGGTTCAATATTGATGATCTTACCGTTTAAAATAAAGCTTAAGAACTTGCACAGTTTAATCCTAGAGATGTGAACAAAGAGAATCTCATTAAAGAAGTTTGCCTTTTGAACATTTTTACAAAACAATTTTTAAGCAAGGAAATCAGATGCAGCTACTCAATCAAATCTTTGAGAAAAAGCTTGAACACCTTTTTCCATGAATTTGCATCATGCTCTAGATTTTTAATACTATTCCTAAGCCAGTTGCTGAGGGTGAACAATTGTTTAGTAAACTAAAAATTGTAAAGAACTCTGTTCAACAATGGCACAGGATCTCATTACTGATGTTTGATTATTTTGATTGAAGAAGATTTGGCTAAAAAGATGAACTTCAAAAAAGTCATCGGTATTTGGGCGGCCAGAAATGTGCAAAAAATTCATTTTAAGCATCTTTTTACCTTTATTGAAGATTTTAAAGATTTTTTGTTTATTAGTTTTAAAACTATTGTTTTGGTTGTATGTAACTGTTTATTAGTTTTAAAACTATTGTTTTGGTTGTATGTAACTGTTTATTAGTTTTAAAACTATTGTTTTGGTTGTATGTAACTGTTTATTAGTTTTAAAACTATTGTTTTGGTTGTATGTAACTGTTTATTAGTTTTAAAACTATTGTTTTGGTTGTATGTAACTATGTCAACTATGAATCTTTACTTAATCTAGAGAGTTATTAACAGTGCATATATATCACATATATATCTGATATATATAGAAAGTTAATATTAACGTGCATATATATCACATATATATCTGATATATATATCAGAAATAAATACTTTTTGCATAATAAGGGTGTTGTTCTCCATTTTTGACTCGGGCACCATTGGCGCTTTCGAAGGCCCTGAATATAGTTAATAATAGTATTCAACTAAGCACATATATATATAGGAGCCCCCTTGCATCTTAGTCCATCTTTTTTGTTAGTTACAAAAAAATTTTGACTAGATTTTTATATATTTTTAACAATTTTAAGAAAATAAATAGTATATTGTAATAAAATATGTATATTGTATATATTGGGTTAACAGAGGGTGAATAAAAAACCAAAACAAAAACAATTTTTTAAACAAAGAAAAAAACTCAAGAGACTGTCAAAATATATTTGAGATCTAAATGAAAAAAATATTAATTTTGAATTAAACTAGTCTATTCTAAAATCAGCATCTGTCTTCAATAGTTTTTCCAAAAAAAAAAAAGGTTATTCATTTGGATTCAAATGGTTATTATTTTGGAAAAAATTCCAAAATAAAAAAATAATAATACAGAAATATTTTTTTGTGTCATTTGATCATTAAAATTTAGTTGCATAGAAATTTTACAATCAACAAAGCAATTAATTTAAAAAATAAAAATTAAATTAAATACTTTAATTGCAGTTAAGTAATCTTGTTTACCTTTTTTTTTTAGCAATCTTCTCAAACAAAAAATGTAATACATGAACAAGAGCTTCAAATGAAAATTAAAGAAAATGAAAGACTGCATAAGGAGCTTCAAAACTTCAAGGAAGAAAATTTGTTAAATATTCAACTTCTTGAATCCAAACTTGAAATACTTGAACAAGAAAAGCAAGTTTATGATAAAACAATTGCAGATTTGAATTTGAAAAATAATTATGCAGTTGATCACCTGAAAGGAGAGCTAAATTGTTTGCAAGAATCCTTAAAAAAAAGAGATGAAGATTTAAATCTCGCAAATATTACAGCAGAAAAGTAGTTAGTAGCCATTTTTTTTTTTAATTAACATCATGTTGGAGTTGTTTACCCAATTCTCTCTTTTTATTCTCCCATTCTATTCTTTCTTTTTTTTTTTTTGATTCATAAATAGATAACAATGATATGATATATGAACACAATTTATATCAGCCCTCTGAATTCGAGTCGGCATAACTAAATAAATGAATAATGCTTTTAAGCAAAGCAATCTAACAAACTTCTCCTTCCATACAGTTGTTAAATATATAATAAAATAACATAAGTGTACCTTCCTGCTTTAATTTTCTAAAATTCTCTTGATATTTAGTAAACTTCAATTGAACAGTATTCATCAAGAGCTTCGATGTAAACTTGGTAACATGTTTTACTTTTATTTTCATTTATTATGTATATGTGTATATATATACCTATAGTAAAGGGCTTAGATATACAGTCTGTGGTAAAAAAACAGTTCTTTGATTGTCTGTGGTATTTAAACTGACAAAATTATAGATTATAAAAAAATGCATTAATTTAATTACGTCACAGCAATACAATGCAATAGTTTTAGAACTTCAATGTATTGTTTGTAATACAATAACGATAAGTAATGTTTTAATTGCATATCTGGTATTACAATACAATATTATTGTATTGTAATGTGTTATTCAATTTTTACAATTAGTATTACAACAGTCCGAACCCTAGTATCACTATTATATGTTTTATATCTTAAATTTGTAATATTTTGAATTTTTAATGTTTTTTTTTAGAAAAATCTACAAATCTTATCAAAGAAAAAATTCCATTTTCTGACTATGGTAAGTGTTTCTTCAATTTTTTTTTTCTTTACTTTTAAATACCATTTTCTGACTATGTTAAGTATTTCTTTAAATTTTTTTTCTTCTCAAAGTGTTTCTTTCAATACCTTTTTTTCTAATCCCTTACTGATTTTTTCTAATCCCTTATTGATTTTTTTAAATCTCTTATTGACTTAAATCCCTTTATTTGATTGCGGTAAAATTGATCATTTCAAATTTTAGATAACATTTATTTCAATGAGTTTAACATACCAGCTTGTGACAGAGAGCATCAGGTAAAAATTTAATGTTGTAAATTGTTATTTAATTTTCAAAATTGATTTAACATTGACATTGTTATATCTTGTTTGTCAGTTCCGTAAAGATAAAGCTTTTGGTTAAAAGAAAAAATAAAATAAAATTAGCCAATAGTGACCAAAAAACTACTAAGTAACACGAAATCTCGTGCACAATTTCAAGTATTCTTTATGCTTCTAATAGCTGCAAGTTAAAATCGATTTTTAAAAGGAATTAGCGACTGTTTTGTAAATATTTTTAAGGTATTTGATAAGATATTTCCAAACACAGGAAATAGTGGAATACACCAATTTGCATTAAAAACGCTTTTGTTTATTTTTATTCATATTATTTTATTCGTAATCATATTGACCTTGTTCACCAAGTCCTTCCCCTCCCTCCCCCTATTAAAAGATTTATGCCAATTATGCAATATGAAGCACAAAGGGAATGATGAACCTTGCAATTATGTGAATGGAGAAGTTTGCTCTAGAGTAAATAATTTAATAATGTAAATAATTCCCCCTTCAGTGGTCCTTCTGTGGTTTTAGAACTATGTTGTTTCTGTAGTAAACATTGTAAACAAGTTCCCAGTGTCACTAATGATTATGTAGAGAAAAACATTGGTCTAAGAATTTGTTAGGACATCCCACAATAAAGATCAATGTCAGAATATATTACTAGTTGTCCGAGAGCATAAAAATCTTTTCATAAACATGCCAGTCTGAACTCATGTCAATCAAATGCATTAAAATGCAGAGGTGTTAAAAAGTAATAGTAATCAAGTGAATTTTTTTGAATATATCTTTAGAATACAGTTTCAACAAACATTTTAAAACACTCATAATAAAATGTTTCACTATCAAGGATAATCTTTTTTTTTATTTAAACTCGGTTTTCATTTGTAGCTGTTCCCAATATATTAAAAATAAATTATTTTTTGGGGGACTTATTGTAAGTTGTGTAATGAATAGGAAACCTTAGCATGTGGAAATTCTGAAAATGTAAATTTTGACTTCAAGTCCCCTCATTAGCCTTGGGTTTTAATAAAGAATTTTAAATAGATTTTTTCTTTAATACAATTTTAATACAATGGTTTGAGAAAATTATATAAAATAATTGTTTTAATTTTTAGCATGCCGTTCAAAATATTTTAGATGTTTTAACAAGTCATTTAATAATTTTCATGGCAGCACTATCAGACTACCACACATATTTAGAACAGGTTTAAATAAATTTCCATTTTTTCTGTTTTATGCTTAATCATTTTGTTATTATATGAACATTTATTTCTAATTTTATAACTATTAGAGATTGAGGGTTTGTTCAATGGACATTAAGCAAGAAGATGTTAACAGCATAAATATGAAAGTAAGTTTATTATGTAAAACATAGTTATAAATTTTTTTGTGTATTTAAAAATAGCATATATGTATATAAAAGTTATATATATGTATACATATGCGTATATATATATATATATATATATATATATATATATTTCTTTCTTTTTCTACCCAAATTATAAATATTTCATTCAAGTTAATAAGGAATAGATAAATTTAATTTTTTTTATCCCTATAAGGTGTTAGCCACGGAATTCCCAATGGGTTTAAAATTCCCAAAGTTCAATTTTTTTAATTTTTTTTGAATACAATATCAATAAAAATTCCTATTATTTTGTAGAACAATAACAATATCAATAAATATTTCCATGTATGCATTCAGGAATGTGTGTGTGTATCAAAGTATATATGTATATACATATATATAAAGGTATATGCATATCTTTCTTTTTCTACCCAAATTATAAATATTTTATTCAAGTTGACAATGAATAGATAAATTTAATCTTTTTTTATCCCTATAAGTAAAGCTAATATAAAAATTCTATAAAACATTTTTTATATTATTTATATTAGCCCTACTTGTACATTATCACATTTTTTTGTTGCTTAGAGAGTGTTTATGATATAACTTTGGTTTCTAAGTGTACTTTTATTATAATTAGGGTGGTACAATTTTTTCTATTATTGAAGATTAATTTTTATTGCCAAATGTGTTTCAGACTTTTGAGCTGAGTTATTGAGCTAAACTTTTATTTGTATAAATTTTTCATTGCATTTTTGAATTTTTAAGTTAAAATTTTTCAACTTTAACTTCCTTTGTCTTTTTTCCTTTTTAGTTTTTAAAAGGGGAAAGAGGAAATTTATAATTCATCTAAACTATTTAAAATTTTTTGTTAACTGGTTTCTGTATTTATTTGCAGTATGTTGTATACTCACCATGATACCATGGAATCATATTATAAATACAAAATAATTTTTTTTCGACTTTATTTTTTTTATAAATTTGTTATTTTGTCATGTGTTATAATCATGAATTTTATTTTAGTTCTGTGACCACTTACTTAACAATGCTAAACACTCTCGTAAAGTTCAACAGGCTTTAAGAAATTTAAAAGAACAATCTCAAAATGAAACTTTTTTATCTCTGGTAAATTTTTTTTTTTATTATTTTTATTTAATGATGGTATGATGATGACGATGATGATGATGATGATGATGATGATGATGATGATAATTATGATGATGATGATAATGATGATGATGATGATAATGATGATGATGATGATGATGATGATGATGATGATGATGATGATGATGATGATGAATTATAATGATGATGATGATGATGATAATGATGATGATGATGATGATGATGATGATGATGATGATGATGATGATGATGATGATGATGATGATGATGATGATGATGACAAGAGGAATGTGTAGAGTTTCTATAAAAACTGTATAGAAATACGACAAATTTGTATAGAAACTCGACGCAGTATAGAAATACTACTTTAATGTATAGAATTCCAACGCATTATGTATAGAAAAGCTACATCGCAAGGTAGAGTTTCTATAAAGAGGTTTTTTTATTAAATTGCCGTTCGCCGTTTACATTGATTTAGTTCAGCCATTAAAATATTTTTCGCAGAATAATATTAGATATCAGAAAGTAAGAAAATACAATGTATGGTGTTTTAAATATATTTCTTTTTTTGAATAAACTCATTAATGAAGTTTTCAGTTTTAATTAGCTTTCTTTTTTAATAACTGATTTCTATTTTTCAACATCTAAGAGTTGTATTAAAAGTCTTTATTACCAATAAATTATTTATGTTTATGTTTATGTTTATGTTTTTTATGTTTTTTTATGTATGTTTGTGTTCTGTCTGAACCTCTGGCGCGGTGTTCGCTCACCCGTAAGTTACTTTATGTTTTTTATGTATGTTTGTGTTCTGTCTGAACCTCTGGCGCGGTGTTGACTCACCCGTAAGTTGATTTATGTTTGTTTGTGTTCTGTTTATACTCTAATGCAGCGTGAGCTCAGTAACTAACTACTTACTCCAACTACAAAACCTACACTCACCTTAGACTCCTGTATTTTGTTAGATGCAGTGTTTTTCCTAATGCACTTCCAAAATGTCATGCCTGGTTTTCTCAAAGTACTGTTGTGGGAAGTAACTCCTTTTAACTACTCCAGGTCAGGTCAGGATAATCGAGATCAATCTTGCTACTGGTATCACGTAACCCAGTACCACCTGCCACAAGCCCTGCTGCCTTGCAGAGTGTGCTCTTCTTATGCAAAGGCTAGGAGAAATAAACTCCGACTAAAAATTCCCCTGCCTTGGGGCTCTTGGTTGAGTAAAGGCTAGAGATGGTGTCTCGATGGAGACACTCATCTTGGGCAGATGTTAACTGCATCCAGCTAAACATCCTCTGCCTTGGGGCTCTTGGTTGAGTGAAGGCTAGAGATGGTGTCTTGATGAAAATACTCATCTTGGGCAGATGTTAACTGCATCCTGCTACTGTCTTGTAGAAGGCCTCCTAGGCAAAGACTTTAGGGGTAAGCAGAAAAATTCTGCTAACCAGCCTTGAACCCTTTCTTCATCTATTAGGCTGGCGTAGATGTAACCTGTGTTACATTGTTTCCTGCCTAGGATGATGAATGCTGGATCTCCTTGACTCTACTCATAGAATTTTGTTTATGCCTCCTTGATAATGGCTATGCACCTCTTCCTGTTATCTCCATATGAGGGTACAGCTCTAAAACTCAGTTTAATGGTTCTGAAGCCAGCTGGTAGTAAGGTTTCCCAAACTCTGTGGTAGCTCTCAGAGAGGCTGGTTCCATCAACAGCTGCAAAATATCAGAGTATTGACAGTGCCATGTTGCGCATGGATGGTATCCCTGTTAATGCTTTTGGTGTGCATTGCCACATAAGGAGCCCTATGTCACGGCTTAGGGTTAATTAACAGGACTGAGACAACTGCATAGCTCATTGATTAGGAGGCTGTGCTCTATCTATGAATGAGTCTAGTTCTCATTAAACCCAAATCATGACCAAAGTAACCAAAAATTTAAAACCTAAAAAACCATCCCCACCACCTAAATATTTTAATATATCTTTTACAAATATTCGCGGTCTATGAAGCAACTTTCCATCAGTTGAGTCTAACTTCCTGCAAAATTCACCAGACTTGCTTGCACTCAGTGAAACAAATTTAAGTTCTGCAATTCCTTTTTCAGATGTCAGTGTTGATGGGTACTATCCTTTGATTCGTAAAGACTCCAATAGTCACATGCTAGTTTTAGGGGTATACATATGCATTAATTCCCCTATTTGTTGTGAAATCAGGTTCGAATCCTTTGACCATTCTTTTATGTGCTTTTGCCTAGCACCTCTTTACTCTATCACCTCTCTCTTTGTTCTTTATCGTTCTCCTTCTTCCCATGATTGCACTCTTTTAGATGTTATCTCTGATCAAATTGACCATGCCCTCACTCTTTACCCCTCTGCCAATATTGTTGTTGTTGGTGATTTTAATGCCCATCACACTGAATGGCTTGGCTCTAACACCACTGATCCTGCTGGCACTAAAGCCTTTAACTTCTGCGTTTCTCAATCTCTTACTCAGATAGTTAACTT